TAAGCTGCAAGTGCTTCAGTGAAAAGAAAATTCCTTCTTTCACAATGTGATTGGTTCAGCTGCCCGTCACTACCAGATTTACTGCCCATTTGCGCGTGTGCGAATGTAACTACTTGGACAAACTGCTAGAAATGTGTGGACAGAAACATTGCAGGAATTTTGAGTCATTCTGCCCTCCATACTCCAGATGCGTTAATAGCATTAAAAAATGTTTATCGTGTTAATCGTGATGGCGGCTTAATCTACGTTAACGCGTTAATTTTGACAGCACCAGTTTTTATATATGTCTATATTTATAATATAGCAGTTTCCTTACAAGTAATAAAGAATAATGATTAAATGAAGGCCTATGAAATGCTAGAGACAACATATTATCCAAGATATATATATATTTATTTTAGATTATGCAAGAAAAGTCCAAACTATGTCTTTGGAGCAATACTGCAACTCAGAAATGAACTTTATGGCTCTTAAAACATTCTTATACTTTCTGGTAGTTTTTCTTAAACTCATCTAATTTGAAATATTACTCAAATGTGTAAATTCATCAAAACCATGTTCAAGAATGTTCCAGTTTAAATAGGTTTAGTTGTACAAAACAGAAATAGGCAGGTATTTACGCTCAGTTCTGCAGATATGCCTCGATCCGTCTCCCGCAGTGAACTCCATGGAAACTGACCTGTGACTTTGTAGACATTCAAAGTGATACTGAAAATGATATGAAAAGTGGAAAACATCAGTACAATAATGCTTTGCAATTACAAAATACACCCACTGAAAGTTACGGCAAAGAGTGCTCAAACATTTACCTACTTAATCCACAATGTCAACAACAGCATAGTGAGGGTACTTACAGCAAGTAGAGAAACACGTATAACATTATGATTTAATACATTTTAAAATATTTAATTTTCTAGACTGAAAAAATGTAAATTCTACTGTTTAACTTGTTCCTACATTGATATTGGGTGACTCAATACAGGTAATGCCTATGTGCACATCATTTTCATGTCTTACTTGCGTTCAAAGTTTCCTGGTTGGGGTTTGAAGAAAGACAGACCGTATGATGTCTCTTTGGTACCATAGGAGAACTGGAATGTCAGTTTTTCTGCCCGACCCAATACATTGGGTAATTTTAGGCCTAGTACCTGAAATGAAGGAGAATCAACAAACTGATCAGCATTTCCCTAATATTTATAATATTCAAAATACACTGAACTAAACAGCTGCATTAACACACACAGAGAAAAATATACAACACTGCATTACTTTCAGAGAGTGGAAGATGACATAAGCTCTTTTTGGCACTAACCATACTGCCTTCATTGTTTCCAACCATTGTGTTGTAGCTGCCTGTCATACGTCTCAGCTCTGTGACCTCAAAGGTCACATCAAGGCCATTAGGAAGAGCATCCTCCCCTGAAGAGAAAACAAATCAAAATATCTAACTGCTATACATTTACTCAGAAGCAATTACATCAATGCAGTACCAGTAAGGAAGTAGTAGAGTTCTTTCCAGTTACCTGGGTTTGTTTATAAACTTGTATAAACTGATGTGGAGTGTGTGTGAGCAAACTGCAGAAGTGCAACAATTTTTTTAAACAGCTTTTTCTGTTGTGTGTCAACATGGTAACCTGCATATTGTAGAGACATGTATTGGCACATTAACCAGCTCCTATAACTCATTTAAACCTTAAGCTGAATCTAGAGACCTGAACCTGAGATCAATGTTGTTTCACTTCATGGACTAAAGGTTTGCCAACTCTAGTTTCCACTTTAAATGTCAGTAGTCTTGGTATTCATATTCTGAATCCAGACAAGTGACAAGGTCAACTTTGGGCCACTGGATGTAAACTGTGAAAGTTGCAGGGTGGTAAAACACTGTTTTCATGTTTGTTACTACACAAGCATGAAAATGTATGTAGAATTAAAAGTATCTCTAGTTCTATACAAGTTAGTTGTGCCTTTTCCAATATGATCTGTAAATTTGTGTGTATATCTAGTAACAGCAGAAAATGAACATACAAAAACAGAGCTCTATTGCACAGATTTTGGGGACTAAGCTGTCTTTAACTTTGCTTTAAATATGATGAGATTATCTGTCCTAAGAATAAACTTGTTTTGCATTTACAGAAAGGTGAAAACTGAAGGAAAAACATGTAATTATGTAGTTATTATGCATTGGTTTTATTTCTCCAGCCCACTTGAGAGCAAATTGGCATGTATATGGCCCATGACCTAAAAGTGAGTTTGAATAATGTATTCAGCATGAACAATAAGATCAATTGTCTGCTATTAGTCAAAACTAACTTGTGTTTATACATTACTGTGACCCAGAAAATTGGCTGGCCATATTTTAAGACAACTGTATTCATAAATACAACATTTCAAAAAGGTTCAGTTACTTTTTCTTGCCACTATATCTCACATGAATAAGCCTGCAATTGGACAGTCATAACTTTTAGATTTATGTGTGGACAACAAGGAAGAGCATGTGAATAGCTGTCTATGGAGTAAATCTGTGGAATAGTATGGAGAAGAATTTGAACAGATGCACAAAATCTGTGTGTTAATCAGTTAAAAGAATATATTAAAAACACTTACAAAGAAGTATTTAGATGAGACAGGGTGTTAAATACTTAAACTCTACATTTTGATTGCAATGGTCAAAGTTTAGTGTCATAACTATTAACATTTAAAGCTTGTGTGCATGTATATATTACACTCTATAACAAAAAGAAATATGATGAGTTAAATAGAGATATGAATGAACAAGCATTTGCTTCCTCCTATGTCTTTTTGAGCAGGACATGGTCAACATTTTTCATCACGAGAATAGGTTGGCTTTCTTCCATTTCTTCTTATACGTTTGAGATAAAGACTTCATTGTAATATGTCTGATATGTAATCATAACAAAGTCATTTTTGAAGACCACACAGTGACTGCCAGTACCTCGTGAGGTGTCGATAACAACTTCAACTTTTCTGAAGATCCCGAGACGCAGAAGCTTCTGTCGCGCTTCATGGGACTTTCGCATAACCTGCACAACAGTTTGAACTATGTGTTACAACTACTCACAACCATAAGCTGAACAGGAAACAATCATTTCACACATATTAATATGTACCTACATCAATCAAGTTCTTTGCCTGGAAAACATCTGAGATTTCATAAGTCAGCAGGTCCTCTTTGGTTCTTCCAAGCCCGTCTATATGCACTTGTTGAACCACAACCTGAAAAACAGAGAAGACAGACGCACAAAAAAATGGTAAAGATCCCAAAGAGAAAAAAATATACATTTATTTATATATTTGTATTTACATAAATGTTATTATTTAGATAAATTGGCTAATTGTAATATATATATAAATAATACTAAATAATATTAAAACAATGATATTGTCAAGAAAACACCTTTTTTAAGAGTTATCAAGCAGAGTGTAATTATAGTGTAAAGATGGGTATTGCAATGTGACAGTGGTAATCAGAGTACGTCCCATTTACAATCTGGCACAGAATAAACCTTACATCTTTATTTTCAAGAACTTCTTGTTTCGGCTCTTGGTCCATCTCCGGAGCATCAATGTCGTCAGCTTGAACTCCTAACTCTGGCCCATGCATGGGCAGAGGGTCTAGGCTCTGCAGGACATAGTAAAATGGATATATTGGATAATTGGATATATAATTACTTCACAGAGTGTTTTACTGAACAAACAAAAATGACTGTGAAATTAATTGTGCATATATGTGAATATGTCCATAGAATCTATTTTATTTTTACAGGGTGATTCAGGCTTGGGGCTCTATATACTGTTGGGGACATTGAGGTCAGGTCTGTGGAAATACTTCTAAAAGGTTAAGGTTTCATAACGGGAATTACAATAATTTACTTTTTTTTTAATTAAAAAAAAAAAAACGTTCTCCATCATTTCCAAAATTCAGATGAAAAAATCAAAACAAATATTTAAACTACTTACAACCAAAACTGTAAAAAATTTTTTTACAGTTTTGTTGTTGTTATTACTTATTAAAGCAAGTCAGTAAACTGCATCTATCTGGCTCAGTTTTAAAGATATGGTATCATCGATAAAACATGCGAGACACTGCCGGAATATGTGGGGGACAAGGGATAAAATTTTGTTGTGCAGTCCCACACAAACTGGGACACTTCGTTATCCTATTCACATATGACCCATTTATTAATAAACCCATACCCGCAGCCCTGTACTAGATAAATACATAAACATAATAAGTACAGCAGTGGGGGGGAAAAACAACCCTCACTTAAGTTCATTAAGCACACCAAAGCCTTTCAAACTGCAGCAAAAGGAAAGACACCACTAGCATGCTATGAGTCTAAAACACACAGTTGGAATAGCTTCTTAGCATTTTACCGTGGTTAATAAAAAACTACAACTTGTGGCCTGAATGAATCCAGTCTCTGTACAGTGAGCTGAATGCCTGAGCCTTGTTTGTATCTTGTTGAATTACAGTGCAGAGGGCCTCTCACTCCAGCAGCCGCTCTGTCAGATAACTCACTTAAACACAGACACGGAGGTCAAAGTCCCAGCTCGCACGTTTAGCGGAGTTTTGCTTACCCTGGCATGGACGGTACCCATGCTGAGCTCCGCAGGGCGCTGTCCCAGCAAAAACTGAAGAAACTTTGAGACGAAAAAGATAAACTAATTTCACCTACAAGTCACCGGAGAAAGGCGAGGGTCCTCCGTATAAGGACGCGGACATGTCACTTCCTGACCACGCCTTCTACCAGTGCGCGTTCAAGACAACCACGACGGATAAAGGGAAAGCAGTCAAACTGCAATAAATACAGTCGTTATTCCACAAATACTGTTTTACTGCGGTTCTAGTGCTAGCAGAAGTACTAACAATCGTGAATATAATGTTAAACATGAACATAGATGTGGATAATGACAGACAGAGGTCATTTCAACAGGCTGTATTGACTACAAACAAAGGCAAAAACAAACCATTAATGCTGTGCCTTTTTTGGTTTGAATTTATTGGTAGATAAAGATACACATTTTAACATTTCAAACTAAACAGTTCAAAGCTGGGCTGGGCAGTAGCCTCAACACTTCACAGCTGTACATAAGTTGCTGAGCACCTCTCCAGACCTTGTGTCCTGTAACAGAAAAATAAGTTAACAATCGCCCTCGCAAAACGCTGAGTATTAAAATTCTGGTAAACACTGTGTTTGTACCACTGCTAAGCTCTACTTACGCTTCTGTTTTGAACGTCTCATGGGATATCCGATCTTCATTTACACCATCGGGACATTCATTGATGTCTTTTATGCCCATCATTGTCAAAGCTGTGGGGATGAATGGTTATTATTATTACAATAACATTTTGCTATATAAAGAATGAATACATTTGCTACATAATTTTGAGGTCTGTGAAGAGAAACAATAAGGGGAGGACGTTCAAACTCGTCACAGAAAGGCCCCAGACTAGATTTGAACCCAGTATCTTTAGGTTGTAAAGCAACAGTGCTTCATTGTTGATTCCTTCATTTTACGTCTCATTCAGCTCCATCCCAAGTATTTAAGGTGTCTCTTCCTGTCCCTGTAGTTCAGCACTCACCTTGTTTGTACTGGACAAAAGAGATGTATTGTTTATTATCAGGGTCCATAATCCTAAAGACTACATCCAGGTTAGAGTCATCGAACAGATTTGGCCCAATCACACCACTCTGTTGAGACAGCTTTAGCTGCTCCAGTTTTTCAATAAGAAACTCCCTGGGTTTCTCTGAAAAAATACACAAGAAACAATGTAAAACAAAACAATCATGATGGACATATGGTGATGAAAATTAAAAGCAAAATGTTAGTACCATGTTAGAGTAACACAAAACAGACATTTCTCTCAAGAGAAAGAGCAGCTAACCAATGAATATTTTATCTAGCACAAAATAAGTATGTAGAGCAACAAAGGCTATGTCTGCAATATTTTACAGCTGGATTTCAGTTCATTATAATCCCCTGCTCAAAAACTGTTCTGGGTAAACAAACAGGTGTTTTAGTCCTTTAGTTTCCCAGTAAGTACATATGAGCTAACTTTCCAGCTTTTGCAGTAGCTTTTTGTTTTTAGCACAACCGGATGCAGTGTCTGTATAAGAAAAGACCAAATAAGCTCTAACCGGGTCTGTAAAAGAAGAGCATGCTAGTCAGGTTGTCCATAAGCTCGATGAGTTTGTGTTTCTCCAGATAAACAGCTGCGTCTTCCTCCCTCCGCGCCGCCATCTTTTCCCCTTTTGTTTGAACCTGTTGCTATGATACGCAGGTCGGGGTCAGGGCTGTGTCCAGGATGTTTTCACTGGGTTGGCACACCGAAACCATGAACAGGGAAGAAATGATCTGTCTATAAACTATCGAACCTACAGTTTAAAAATGTACGGCATGGAGTACAAAGCACGACATCTGCATCCATATAGCGGAGCAGAAGCAGAAAGTAGCACAACACAGAAATACGTAAATAAAGTACTGTTTTTCAGTAAAGTACTTGAGTAAACGTACTAAGTTACATTCCTTCTGTCTTAGCCATATTCTTATCCAACAGTGCTGAGCAATACAAGTACTGGTGACTGTGCTTTTGTTGTGACCACCAGGTTTTTACCACTTTGTAAAGTACTTTATTGTGAAGTTTGTTCTTGGAAAGTGCTACATAAATAAACCTTACTTGCTTATGAACTGGTCAGAAGAGAAGCAGGGCAATAATATTTGATCGGAAGCCAGTCTTCCCATCAAATATGCTGCCTGAAGCATTATCCACAATACTTGCATGGTAAAGCCATTTAAACAGCATTTATATAACTATCAACTGAACACGATTAATAAATGTGTAAAAGCTAGGCCCAAATTAAAGTTAAAAAAAAAACAACCCTTTCTCCTCTGGAAATTATAACACCATCTTGGCTTATGTGTAACCCTCTCAGTTATAATGTCAGTTTGTATTGATAGATAGGAGCTCCCTCAAACAATCAGTGTTGGGGTCTTATTACTTTACTTATGTACTCCTTCGTAAAAAATAATTTGACACTCTACTTCTCTGTAGCACTTATCAATTGAAAGGCATTATTTCCATTGTTATTTAACCTTAACTTAAACTTTACGCCTGCCAACATGTAGGAGTTTAGACTTGTGATCTTAAAAAAAAAAGGACTGTCAAAAGCTATTTTGATGAAAAGCACTTCAAGCTTGAATACAACAAAAAATGTGATCAAATGAATGCATTGCATGCCACACTATACTAAGAACACTTCATATCCCCCTCCCTAACCAATTACAGTCAACATTAAAAATCATAAGTCTCATGCTGTCATCCAATAAGTGGAACAACTCCCCCGCCCAAAAAAATATCTATTAAATTTTTTTGTTCCAAAAAAGGAAATTGTATGCATTTCAGTTTAAATCACTCTCATGTACCACAAAGTGCTGCCAAAATTCTTGTTTGATGTCTTTTTTTTAATTTAAAACATTTTTATCTCCATGGTGGAGGCCATAAACTCTTTCATGACTCCAACTCCCACTATATGTTTTCATGATTAAAACCTCAGAGTATTTGGCACTTCAACAATGCAAACACATTCAAGAAGGAAGAAGAAATGCAATAACAGCGGGGGGGGAGATAATCCGGATAAGATCCTTAAGATCCCTGATAGCCAATGGTATGGTACTTTATTCTTCTCCTGTTTGTCCCATTAGAAGAAAACACAGAAGATATTTATGTGCAGACATCCCACACATGACATAGTGGGGCTAGTGCTATCCGCTTCTTTCAGTGTCTGCCACACAGAGGATGTAGATCCACATCAGCCGGTATCTCGTTCAGATTTAACCTTCTTTAAGGCTTCTTCTCTGACTTTGTAGCCCTGCAGCTCCGTACGAAGCTCACCAGGCTTTGGTGGGACGTCTGGTATACTCTGAAAGAGAACAGCAAGCACGTTTAACTCAGCCTGACAGGTGAAAGCTCATTGGTTGGATGCATCTGTGAATACAAACTGCTCACAAATTCCAACCACAATTTCCCTGCATAATATGTCAACTCTAACCAAAGAATCGGACATCAACATACTTCCAGCTGAGAAACAGTGACAGCAGCTTGAGGTGTCTGGGTTGGCAGTGATGCCATTTTTGATGTGATGCTCAGCAGAATGGCTGAGTTGATGGATTTTGAGTGACCACCACAACAGGTAGTAAACACAAACTTCTCTCACCCCAACCGGTCACAGCAGATGGCCGCCCCTCCCTGAGCCTGGTTCAACCGGAGGTTTCTTCCTGTTAAAAGGGAGTTTTTCCTTCCCACTGTCGCCAAAGTGCTTGCTCATAGGGGGTCATATGATTGTTGGGTTTTTCTCTGTATCTATTATTGTACGATCTACTGCACAATATAAAGCGCCTTGAGAAGACTGTTGTTGTGATTTCAACATTATCTTTTTTTCCCACATTAAGGCAACATCAATACAAAGAAAGACTGCAGTCTTCCTTTGAAATCAAAGGAAACAATAAAGATGTACTTTCATATAGTATGGTGGGCCAATGGTAATGTCTTTGTCAGTAAGGAGGCTGTAAAACTGATCATAACACTGCTCTACAAAAAATATTTTTTGGTTGCTACTTATAACTTCACAACGTCAGCTCTTTATCGATCCGATATAAGCTTACTGATCAGATTTCTGAGATACACGTCACTGACATTCTGAAACTTTTCAATATCAGTGTAATATAATAATAAAACATCTGGAATTTAAAGAATGTACCACCAAAATTGTTTTAAAGATTATTTCTGTTAATTTCTTTTAATTAAATTCCAAATAAAAAGAAGTCGGTGTGCTCCAAAAAGGTTTAAGGCACTTGCTTATACGCTTGGACCGCACACCCGTCTCTCTCTGCAAGAACAAGCAGTTTATGCTCAGATTAAATTTTCACTGCTATTGGTTTTCTTTTACTTTGATATTTCTACAAAATCATTTCCCGTGTTCATTGCTGACATCATCAAGATTTCCAGATAAAAAGGAGAGATGAGAATGTAAAAAACTCTGTTAGCCTGCACAAATGCTTCCCATGCAGCTTACTCACTTTCTTTTTGAACTCATCGTCATGCACCAGTTCAGGGATTTCAGGACCAAAGAAAACAACTCCCTGAATTTTGGCTTCACTTTTCTGGTGACCAGAAAACCTAAATCTTGGCATCCTTGATGAAGGTCTCTGCATGGGATAGACTGAAGTCTTTGTTCGACCAGGCCAATGTTTGACAGTGTTTTCCCATACTAGACAGTATAGTACAATCCTGGGTCGATTTGGCAAATAGAAGCTTCCAGTTTTGGCCTTTGTTTACTTCTGTTGATACCTAAGGCTTAATTTTGTCCCTCACCAGATCAGGCAGGTAGTATTGATGGACAGCCTGTGCTCCTGCAAACATGGCCAAAACACTGGCTCCTAACATCCGGATGTACCGAGCCCAAGACACCCCAGCTGGCATCTTCACAGACTGATCTGACTCAACCTGGAGGAAAAGATAAGTGACCAGGTTCAAAACACTGGTCAAAAACAGCACACAATATATGAAGAGATAGAAATTAGTATAGATAAACAATACATTTTCAGCTCTCCTTTTCAATCTGGTGCTAAAAATATAAGCATCCCCTTTTCTTCTTAAATAAAACTATAGCTGTCTACTAAAATTAGCACCACTGCCATTTAGTTGAAGATGTTTAAAAACTCAATACAACGCCGGGACGCTGTGCATGCAGCACTGTCAAAGTACTACCATGTAGCTAAAGTATCCCTTTTCATATTACAAATGTATGGCAGACTGCACATATTGTACAGATGCACTGTATATGAATAATTCACACATCCACAGCCGCTATCCATTCACATGATGCTACTGATTAGCCATAAAACACGCAGTTTAAAAACATCCAAACACGGAGACTGTTAACACAGAACTACACTTTAAAACCTTAACTTAATTGTTCCCGTCACAAATAAGTAAATTTCCACAGTCTAAAGCTCATTCTTACTAGCTTAAAGTGAAGTGTCTGTCATTGAGGACCAGAAGCAGATCGTGACGTTTATCTAACTACTGGAAATTCTTTGATAGCGAGTCCTCACTCTGTCTTTTTTTCCATGGACTCTTATTTCCTCTCAATTGTACGATAAATCCGCCTCTGATTTTATGGAGAAGTAATGAACTTTCCGGAAATAAACCATCTTCGGTTGCAGTACTCTTCTACAGCATAAACTCGTATTGATACACGGCGATAAGTGCCGTCTGTCGCCGCTTAGCGGTAGCTTGCGTTATCTCGCAAAGTTTTAGTACAAGGCTCTATAATAAGTGTTATGTGTCAGATTTCACGAATACAGTTCTAAATGATCTGCAATGTTCTTCTTAGTTTTCTATCGATTATATGATGTCACCGATGCATTTAAAATACTCGTCGAAATCCGATCCCTGCAATCCCTGCAGTACGCACAGTGACCACAAGGCGGCGGTAAGCATTTCAGCCAACCGGATCAAATCGAAATGTTGAGCGTTTAAATGGTCTTTGTTTTGGGAAGACTCCCAGTCCCTATTTCCTTATTTGAAAGCTAAAGAAATGTATGACAGGTATGTTACTTTACCCATTTACATTTATGTTTGTTAATATTAAATTGCGTTTTTAAAACAACTGTAGAACTTCGAAATCTCGTCAGTTTGCTGTTAGCTAAACCTTCCTGTAGCATCTGCCTTTGTGCCAACAAGCTACTGTGTGCGCGTTACCGCTTACATTTCTCATGTTTATCCATGAGTTTGGCAGCAGAATAAATGTTAATGTATTCAAATAAGTCAACAGTTAAGATGGAAGAAAACCAGTTTACTTCACTGACGGTTCCCTCGGATTATTTTCAGCAGTGGTGAGTTGGTGTTGGAGGTGGCAGGAGGTCTGGGGAAACTTGTCATGTTATCTCCTCGACTCGTTTTCATTTTCATGCATGATGGAGGAAAATAAATGTCATTTGACACTCGACATCATAGCCTACACATTTGTATACTTTATATTTAGGATTGTAGCAACTGATAAGTGTAATTGTGAAGGATAATTGACTACCGTAATCCATGATTCCTGATTAAAGGGAAGTAGGGGTAATTATGTAGGAATAATATGAAACAGAAATACTCTGGATTTAAATTTAGGCATGCAAAAGAAAAACAATAATTGTACAATCTGAATATCTTGATATATTCTGTTATGTTTGTCTGACTAATTTAAAATATTTTTTCTTACATTTTTAACATACCAGCGCATTATCCAGCATTTATTACACCTTTGTTTGCTACAGGCCTTTTTTTAACTGCACTTGTAAACTTTGTCACCTGTAGAGAGTCAGTTCACGCAAGGTTAAAATGAATAGTTTACATATTTGGCCTCTGTTTGTCTTTGTATCGTCATATTCTGCAAAAGTATCTTCATTCCATTCTAGTCAACCTTGTGATTATTGTAAAAATACACAATTAGAGGTGCAAAAAGGTTAGTTTTTGTAGGTTGCATCATCAGAAATGATCAGTAAACTAGATAAAAGCAATGAACAATAATTGAGGTGCCTGTTTTACATAAAAAACAGTAAATGAAATGCAGAAAATATGAACTAGTGGATGTCAGCGCATGTGTTTTTGCAAGTATTGTGTCCTGTGTTTAAGTTTTATTCACCCACTTCTCCACACACCACATTTTCCTGATGTACCTGGATCCTGTTTCATGTCCTTTTTTTTTCTTTTCTTTTTTTGCTTAACTTCTTCACGCCCTCATCTCTACTAGGTACCAGTCCAGCCAGCAGTACCCTGAGGTACAGCATGTGGCACCCTATCCCAGCATGGACCATTACACTGAAGGTCCCGTGGATGAGCCTGTCATGGCCGAGCTATCTGTTCACCGGGATCCAAATTTTTATCAGGAACCTTTTTACACGAACTACCTTCCAGCCCCAAATCATTACCCGGAGCAGGTGTCTCAGCAGAACATCAGAGAGCACCAGCAGCACCCAGATCTTGCACTCCTGCACCACCCACGGCATCAACATACACAACACATACAGCATGCTCAACACACACAGCATACACAGCAGCACGGGCCAAGTATTCAGCACCAGCCTTCAGGTCCACCTAAAGGTAATGGAAGATGCTACAATCACAGTAGTTCTTCCCAAGAAGTTTCAGATCTGATGTATTTTAAATATGTGTGCTGCCATTTGTACAAAAAACTACTTTTGCCTTCTGTTTCCCATAGAATAATTTGGAGACATTTAACTACAGTTTAAAGGAATGAGCTGCATATGAACCAGACAAAAGACATCATAAAATACAAATCAAAATTCCTCAATAGGTTGTTCAATATACGTTCTCTGAGATCCTGTCGCCTGTATTTTAATTGTCTTTTTTTTATTTGTTTGTTTTTGATTCAGTACTCAATAAATTCCTCTTCTTTCTTAGACGTGACACCAGTGAAGAAGAAGAGAGGTCGACCTCCGAAACAGCAAGCGGAGGATGGTGAGACACGTGAGGAGGACGACGAGGTTGAGGCTGCCAAAAAAGCCAAGAGAGCTCTCAACCGCTTCAACGGCATGTCAGTGGCTGAAGTTATGGCTAAAACACTGCCAGATGTGATTACCTACAATCTCGACATTTTGATAGTGAGTTATTTTGTATTTCCAGTTTTGTTCTGTGTTTTTGTTTTTTGTTCTAATTGTGATTTAGGTTTGTGACATGGCCAACTTGCAGTCTTTAGGTCTTTAATTATTTTGTGTCTCTCCTCAGATTGGAATTAATCCAGGCCTATTGTCAGCTTACAAAGGACATCATTACCCAAACCCAGGGAACCATTTCTGTACGTTTAAATTCAGTTTCATTACCGACTATAATAAATATGAGCCAGTGTTCATTTTCAGTTCTACCCTGTTTGACCCACTCTGGGTGCATTGTCACTATTGTTTTATAGCTAAGGCTTGTTCTAAGAGACCTTAAAGGTGGCCAAGATGCCAATATGATGATGAAATGCAGCTGAATGTTGTAACTTGTTAGGTTTGAATGCAGGCAACAGAATACATCAAATTTTAAAGAGCTTTTCAAAGGTGAATATTGATGTTTAAAGAGTCAGCAAAACATTTATGCAACACTATTTCTGATGTATCCCCCATAGAGTATTAGGATTTGCTAGGTAGGTTTTTCAGAATAAGGGAGTGTCCTTGAAGTTTTTAGATGTATCCCCAAAAGTTGATTCTGGACGTTCATCTGGATGTTGCGTTTTCAGTGAAAGAGACGTTTTACCACTCATCTAGGTGACTTCTTCAGTCTCAGCTGACTGCAGGTTTCAACAATCTTATAAAAAGTACATTTGCATAATGACTGAAACTAGCACCACTGAATGAACAATGGGCTGGGAGGTTGGTTCCTTGATCATTAATATTCAAATTCTCATGACCACTGATCAACAACCATTGATCAAAGCTCAGTGATCAAAGACCAGTGATCAATGGTCATGAGTACCATTCACAGAGAGTTGGGGAATGTCTGCAATCACAGCATTGTAAATTGGCGAAAGATGTACCCTTAGGCCCCCCCTCCTCGATTCAGAGATGGTCTTTCCCTTTTCACGTAAATGGCCTCCTTGACTCCGCGCTCAAACCAGCGTTCCTCCCTGTTCAGGATGTGTGCATCCTCATCATTGAAAGAGTGTCCACTGGCCTGTAGGTGTAAATAGACTACAGAGTCCTGGCCTGACGAGTTAGCTCTTCTGTGTCGCGCCATCCACTTCGCCAGAGGTTGTTTGGTTTCCCTGATGTATAAATCCTGGCAATCCTCCTGCCACTTAACAGCATACGCTATGTTACTCTGTTTGTGTCGGGGGACCCGATCCTTGGGGGGGGGACCAATTTTTGGCACAGCATGTTTTGGGGTTAAAAGTCACAGAGACATTGTGTTTAGAAAAAATGCGTCTCAGCTGTTCCGATACTCCTGACACGTATGAGATCACTACAGGTTTTTGCTTAGGCAGCAGTTGTCCTTCTCTCCTAGATCGGCTGGAGCTTTTCTTTTAGGTGCCTTCTCAGCTTTGACAAATGTCCAGCTGGGATAACCACATTTACTCAGGGCCTTCTTGATGTGATGTTCTTCTGCTTCCCTGGCCGCTGTGTCAGTGGGGATGGTGTTTGCTCTGTGTTGCAGTGTCCTGATGACACCCAGTTTATGCTCCAGTGGATGATGAGAGTCAAACCTTAAATACTGATCCATGTGCGTAGGTTTACAGTACACATCAGCTTTTAGATGTCCCCCATTACTGATGGAAATAGAATAGAATAGAATAGAATTCAACTTTATTCTCATTGCACACGTCACAAGTACAAGGCAACGAAATGCAGTATCACAGTCTAAGAAGAAAATTGCCACTTTTCATATCCTCCCTGGTGAATTTGATGTGTTGGTCCACTGAATTACTGTGATCCATGAATTGTGGTACATCCTGAGATTTGATTTTCACCCAGGTGTCATCCACGTATCTGAACCAATGACTTGGTGGTGTTCCAGGGTAGGATAGCATGTACAAATTGGCCACGATGGGTGAAACTGGGGAGCCCATGGCACACCCATGTTTCTGCCAGTAGAACTGACCCTTGTATGTAAAATAGGTGGAATTAAGACAAAGTTCCAAAAGCAAACACACTTGGTCGATGCCGAGAGTGGTTTTGTTGCTGAGGTTGGGGGCATCCTGTAATCTCTTACAGACTACATCCAACGCTTCCGTGACTGGGATGCACTTTCTCCGACTGAAAACGCTACGTCCAGATGAACAGAATCAACTTTTGTCGATTTACTTACCTGGATGATTGAGCATGCATCAAGACATTTTTAGATGTAGCTACTTAGAAATATTAGCTATAAAATTTTCTGTTGCTTATTTCAACTTCAGGATGTAAAATATCAACATGGATCATTGCTTTAAAATAAATATATTTATATATCTCACCTGAAGTAGCTCCATGCTTGTTCTGCAGGCTTATTGCCTTACAAAGTAGTGTTGATCAGCTATGATCATATGGTATAAAAAACAAACAAACAAACAAACAAAAACAAAAAAAGTAGCAATGTCTGCTGATAACAGTTCTGTAAATTTAGAGCTTCTACAACTGGAAAACATGATTAATCAGGAGGAAAAAAGCTGGTTTGAGTCCAGTGTTGTGCTAGACGGCCACTTGGTTGTTTTTATACTCAGCTCCTCTTTTCTGTCCAGGGAAATGTCTGTTTCTGTCAGGTCTAACTGACCAGCAACTTAACTACATGCATGACCAGAGCCTGCCAGAGAAATACAGCATCGGCTTTACCAATATGGTAGAAAGGACCACACCTGGCAGCAAGGATCTCTCCAGGTAAAGTTAACTAAAGCGACTACAACTAAATGCAAAACAGACAGTTTGTAACTTAAAATAAAATTTGTCCTCTTTTTTTTTTTTTTTGGTCCTAGTAAGGAGATCCGTGAAGGAGGCCGACAGTTACTTGAGAAGCTACAAAAATACAAGCCATTAATAGCAGCGTTTAATGGAAAAGGTAAAATGATGCAAACAATTTTCTTTTTTCCATTTTTGTTGAAGTGTTTTGATACTAGCACTAGCTGATTGATTTTATTTTTTGAAGGTATTTTTGTGTAAATTTCACAGGTATTTATGAAATCTTCTGCAAAGAAACCTTTGGTGTGAAGGCCAAGAACCTTGAGTTTGGACTACAGCCGTACAAAATTCCCGAAACTGAAACGGTAGGTGGAAACAGGAAATGATTTCAACATAAATCTGCTCAGCTATACAAACAACAGACTTCATAGCATTTGATGTTCTTTTCAGGTGTGCTACTTGATGCCGTCATCGAGCCCCCGCTGTGCTCAGTTTCCTCGTGCACAAGATAAGGTGCATTTTTACATCAAGCTGAAGGAACTGAGAGACCAGATGAAAGGCCTGGCACCGAGCCGTGAGGTGGAAGAGACAGAGTACTCTTTTGACCTGCAGCTAGCTAAAGGTAAATATCACAGCTGCACAGTACAGCTGAAACATGAGGCATTCGATTGCTATTCCGTCTTTATCTCAGTTAAATTCAGAAAGGGACCTGCTTAAAAATATGTGCGTCTTTTCAATTTTCACAGATTTATTTGTCTTAAATAAATCATTGACTCCCTGCTGATGTTTTTGTTCTGCAGAGGATGCTAAAAGGATTGCAATCAAAGAGGAGCAGCTAGATCCAGAGTATGAAAGCTGTAGTGCACTGCATGAAGAAACCAGGCACAGCAACAACTCCTCGAAATAAAAGAGATTCAGGGGAGGAGAAAAAACAAGCCTGCCTACTGGAGCACTCAGGTAGTGTAGTTATCATGTAGTCGGAAGTTGATGAAATGGGACAACTAAACAACTTTTATAAAAATCTAAGGAGATTTTTATGTACTTCTTCTGGCACTTCCTTTCAGAAAAAGAAAAAAAAAATCCAAGTGTGAATTTTAGTAAAATAAAGGTTGGCACATTAGCATTAGTGAACTTTTGTTTGTTTCTTTTACCTAAAGAGAATAATACTCATACAGTGTAGTTTCCCTTCACGGTTTTACTCTGGAACCACATCCCACCTGCAGTAGCTCTGTGCTCCATCAGTGGGGTCTGCCCCACAGCTTGAGAACCACTGGATTAAACAGTTTGGAGCAAATGACATAAAACACATGAAACTTGACAACTTGAGATTGTTTAATCTGTGTGTTTATTCTATCAAAAGTAGCTTACGTGTCCATCCATCCATTGGTTGTTGTTTTTTTTTTTTTTTCTGCTTATCCAATTTAGGGTTGGAAGGGGGCTGGAGTCTATCCCAGTCACAGCGAAAAAGGCGGGGTACACCTCGGACAGGTCGCCAGTAAATCACAGGTCTAGAGACAGACAAACTTTCATGCTCAAATTCCCACCTAGGGCCAAATAAGAGTTTTCTTTCAACCTAACCCTTGTCTGTGTTTGGACTGTGAAAGGAAGCTGGAGTACCATAAGAGAACCCAATGCGAGCATGGCGAAAACATGTAAACCCCACACATAAAGGCCCATCCACATTATATGCTCATCAGCTTATAATGATGTGTAACACCTCGGGACATTTGCTCAACAGATACCAAATACCAGCTGACCTAGTAGCCTCACCAAGGATGAGAAGTAACACTGTGAGAGAAGAAGACCTCTGTTCCCCAGACAGTGTCACGCACAAAACAGAAAAGCCCCCACAGCACTCACACATGTGCATGTTTTTGGTGTTATTGTTTTTTAAATACTATTTATTGAATTTTTATTAAACATGTTTCCAGTGACTTATTTTGTATTTTCATAGACTTGTATTTTTTTGATTTATTGACTGTATACTCTGGAATTTCTAATGTGTAAGTGCAGAGTTATTAAATCTGTAAATTAACGCTGGCGTGTTTCTATTCTCTGATTGTTTGAGTTATCATGAGAAGCTATAAATGTGTTATAACCTATAGGAAAAGAAACACAGTCAAGCATTCATAAAGACTGAATAATGCTTATTTTTGAGTTAAAAAAACATATTTTCAAAGCTTGATGAGAACAGGAGCATTTCATTATTTAGAGTTTCTCTCGTGCTTCTTGAAAGCCTTGAATGAAATACTTGCATCAAAATACCTGATTCATGATTTTGTGAGAATTTTGCATTTTTATTTTGCACTGGTCTTTAAAAACACTTGAGTGTGAAAATGTTTAGGCTTCTAAAGGGAATAATGAATCTCATTTTGAAAAGCGGGATAGTCGCTGTTAATTTGCATACAAGTCTCCTAAAAACAAGGTCTTAGCAGGCTAAATTTACTGATTTTTGCATAACTCTTGCATCCAGCATGAATTTAATAATGGAGATCATTAATAACTAATAATAAACAAGAAATGTATGTCAATGTAGTCTTTAAACCTGTAAGATGTAATAAGATGCTGCAATAGTTGTAGCTGAGCTGTTACTACTTTATTGTTATGAATCATCTTATCATTTCTAATTAATTCTGTAAAAACAATGAAACTGTCCTCTTATTTTTCCTTGTTTTGTCATAGCTGTGGGACTGTTAGTTGTAAATAAAATATTTAAATACAGAAATGCTGCACCTAATTGCAAAATTAGGGACTGATGTCAACCAATAGACAGCAACCTCACGGAGTTTAAACCGAGCAGCTCATACCAATCCGAAAATAGGGGCGTGTCGTTTTCATTTCTAACGATTTATACCGTCAAATTTGCATTAAAAACACTATTCTCCGATATGCTTATAAAAATAACATATCAAAAAATATTTTATAATGCAAAAATATTCAATAGGGCTATTTTTCCCTATTACAATAACGAACAGTTTTCCTATTCATCCCTACATCTTACCCTTAAGATGTTCCGGTGTCAAAGTTGAGTAGCAGGATTGTCATGTCTTTGTTGCATCTGTTCCACCTCAAATGTTATGAATAGAAGTGTGTGAATATATGGAAAAATAATAACCATCTTACCTTAAAAGAAGTGTTTCATCAGTGCCCTCAACAGGTATGTTTTACGTGTAATAATATTAAGAAATTGTTTACAATTTCATGGGGAGAAGTCTTAGTGGAAGCGAAGCCATTCATCCATGCTAAGTTAACTGGCTAACATTAGCTGTACTTGTGGCACGGCTACTGAATAGCATTAAATCTTAGCATTTATATTACCACAAATAGTCATCATTATCTGAATTGATAGCCACAAACGCGAACTTTTACCTCATTGCACCGTATTCTAAACCTGTTTTAAAACAGGAAATGTATAACCGTTTTAATTCATGTTAGCTTGTTAGTTAGCATAGCCATGGAAGAAAAGGGTAAACATTTTAGCAGGTGTATACTGTATGCTCTATTTAAAATATCCACTGTTATAAATACTAAATCTATTCGGCTATTAGTAATTTGACTTTACTTTAATGTATCACGGCCATTTAAGTTATCTTTTGTTGGTGTTTGTGTTTTGGTTTATGTCTTGTACAACTCCACAGCCTGACTAAAGTATGCTGTCACATGCGTTCAATTTCATGTACTGCCAAACTCTTATATGTTAAACCACATGTACATCACCTAGCTGTGTTTCTTCAACATCCGTATTGATTTATTTAATAAAGTCAAACCACCCAAAAGATGGAAGAAAAGCTGAATGGATCACTGCCTGTTGTATCTCCGGAGTACCTTCAACAGTGGTGAGTCTTCCTCCTCACCACAGTGTGGCCAGACTGGACCCAGATTATGTCAGCAGCCCTCTAACTGGCAAAGTGTGATACTATGAAATGAAAGCATGTGCACATAGTTGCCCGTTTGACATTTTGTATTGTTTTTTACATCATTATTTTAATAATATGCCATTTGGGATCATGAACAATTGTTATAAAGGTGTATATTTTCTTTAATCAGAGCTCAGTGTTCTTATGATGTGATCTGATACGTGGAACACAATTGGGGGGAAAATGTGGTTGTGTTTGATTTGCTAACACAGAGATGTCAAAATCATTTCAGTTCATTTACAGGATTTTTTAATATTCAAGCTGTTGCTTTTCTTCAGGCACAAGAATCAAGAGGGGGTTTTTTTTGGGGGGGGGGTTGTTTTTGGGGCGGGGGGGGGGGGGGAGTTTAAGCAAAAACCATAAGTTCAGTTGAATCGGACATATATTAAATGTTTTGAAAAGAGTATAGAGTCAGGTGCCAGTTTTTCTGCTCTACCTACTATATTTAGAAGTGATTTAATTCACAGTAAACCTGCTTTATAGCAGAACCACTAAGGCTGTTGATGTTTTTGTTTAGTTTTAATTAGATTTAATCTGTTTGTGCTATACTAAATAGTTTATGAAGTTGCACTACTGTCAGAAATGCTTGAAATTAAACATGTGGGATCTTGTAATTAGTAGAAATGGGCCAATCCGATATTACGTATTGGTATCGGTCAGATACGGACGTAAATTACTGGATCGGAGAGAAATAAAAAATGTAATCCGATCCATTAAATATCAAAAAAAGCTCCTCACAAAACTTGCGACACAGTGTAACTCGGCTCATAGGCACGTCGGAGCAGTGTGCTCACGTGATAGAGCGGCTGTGTGTATTTGTAGCCTCACTACCAAACCGGCATTTCATCTCCGAGGAAGTTATCCCAGAGAGAAGTAAAGCAAGTGTGTAAGTTCATCTCTGAATGTTTGTAAAGCATTCCCACGTTAAGCTTAACAACCGATATATGGAGCGACTGCCTCTTCTCCCTCCCTCTCCTGATGCTACTTCAATCGTGAAACTGATTAATGATCAGCTGAT